AATGTTTAAAATGCAAACACATGCCTTCTTCTGCAGCCTTGAACTGATGTTCTTTTTCTCCCCTCCTGATGTGCTTCAGGAATCGTGAGGACTTCTGTGATTGTAACCGGGGTTCAAGTGTGTTCAAGGATTTTCATGGTTTGGTTCGTCACCAACAGCATCAGACCGGTGACTATCACAGCACACACACACACACACACACACACACACACACACACACACACACACACACTCCGATGCTGCCAATGTCAGTGTCAATTTGTTGCTTTGGAACTGAAAGAACCCCTGTGCTGCTTCATGTTAATTTTGTGAACAAACACACCTGCTAGAGGTAGCACTTGTCGTTTGATATGTGTAAACACTTTCTCTGTGTGATCGCTGTATGTTCCAACCTAAATGAAGATCCAGAACGAAGAGAGCGTAATCCTATTCCTGGTCGTGTGGACGATGACAGAGATTACCAGATATTCCTACTACACATTCAACCTGCTCAACCACCTGCCGTACTTCATCAAATGGGCCAGGTGGAGATGCCATCACACTTTGTCAGGGATGAGCTTGAATTGTCATTAACGTGTCAGACATTGTGTCTGTGCATGTTTGGTGTGACCTGGAGATTTCACCTCTGGCATGCTTTCCCGTCACAGACCTAGAGCGGCTTTACGTCAGGAAGTAGTGCAGCCCGTGTGTGTGTGTGTGTGTGTGTGTGTGTGTGTATTTATTATCGCCTGGCTCACACAGAGAGGAGGAGCATGTGTGTGTTTATTGATTAGCACCTCATTAGCCATTTTCTGGGCTAACTAACTGCTCATACTGTGCTCTGACTATACTGATGATGCAGAACAAAAGTCAAACATTTAGAGCATTTCAAAACGTTTTAGCTGTATTTTAATCTTCCAGAAAATACACAGTGTTAACGTTTTGCATTACTCTATTGTGTATGTTAAACTCTTTAAAAGCATCGCTCAAATTCAAAAATATCATTCTGAATACAACATTTAAAATACTCTCAGTTTGAATCACCGAAATGTGATGATGCTCAACAAATGTATCTGCTGCAAAGTGACATAATGCCGGCCTTCTACTGTATGGAGAGTACTTTATGACGTGGCGGTCTGCCCCTGGGTGTCTGTGCTGAAATAGGAGTCGTTTGGAGGAACGTCAGCTGTACACATTGGTAGCTGTCCTACACATAGGCTTGGCATCTCACAGCCCTGAGAGTGGCTGTCTCGCCTCAGAGTACCCAGGTTTACATGTTGCATCAGCCCATTTACAAGAGGAGACGCTCTATCTCATGCAGGCGGAGGCCCACCAGCCAAATTTTAATTTTGCTACTACCTCAGTGTCACGTTTAGCTTTGTGCCAATGACTCTTTTGTTTGGGTGTTGATCCTCATGTACCGAACGCGTCTCTCCTCCCTGCCCCCCACCCTTCACATCTTCCTTCAAGCATGGAGGAGACGCCAGGCCCCCAGGAGAGGGGCTCATGTTCAGCTGCTCCCGTTTTTAAGACCATCTGTTTTGGTCATGGAATGTTTTCCCTCACATCCGCTTGGAAGCTCCCCCCCCGAGCCTCTGCTGTGGTCTCGACTAAATGCAGGACCTCTGTAGCCCTGAGTCATGTCATGTATCAAACGTGAGACACTGTGTGGTGTCACAAAGGGAGGCAGGCCGTCTCACGCGTAGGTGAAGTGACGGGGAAGTTGGAGAAGGAAGCAGAGAGGATGACAGTTTGTGAATAATTGCTTGTCATCCTGATACATTTGGGGGCTGTTTTTGATGTGGCAGTCCCAAATCTGTTTACTAATTAAAGACACAGAGCTGCCTTGGAATGCATTTATTTAAGTGCTGAGTAATTGCTGTCACTGCAGGAATCAACGACTAAGCTCAGTGATAGTCAGAATTTCTCTCACTCTGCAGAATTCCTCGCTACGACAACGGCCAAGTCAAATCATTATTTCCAAAATAAAGCATGCATTGTTTGTTAAACTCATCCTTTGTGATCCCCAACCACTTCCTGTTTCTGTAGTGAATTAAGTGTCCTAACCTTCCATCTAGCAGAAGGTCCATACTGTATTTCAAAATAAAAGCATTGTTGAATTCAAACGGCAAGTTAAGTACTCTCAGCTTAAGACAGTACAAAAATTCAAAATAAAAGCAACTTTTATTTCCAAATATAGAAAGAATGGAATGTAATTAATCACGATTAAGTATTAGAATATAGCAAATTGATTGCAATTAAAAATGTTAATCATTTGACAACCTTAGTATGCATGCAAGTGCTTTACCATCTCCAGGAGTGTTCTCTGCTGAAGGGGTGTAGTATGTGTATATCTCTGTGAGTGTTAAATCTCCTCCCTCTTTGTTCTTCCCAGGTACAACCTCTTCATCGTCTTGTACCCTGTGGGAGTCGTTGGAGAACTGCTGACCATTTATGCTGCTCTGCCGTTCGTACGCAGATCTGGAATGTACTCCACAAGGCTCCCCAACATTTATAATGTCTCCTTCGACTACTACTACTGCCTCATCATTGTCATGTTGTCCTACATCCCACGTAAGGAGCCTTTTTTTTTTTTTTTTTTTTTTTTTACACTGCTCTTATTTTATCAGGATACAATGCTTAAGAGTATGAAAGAAAGTTGGAGCCTACCTCTAGTGGTCATCTAAGGAACTGCAGTGAAATTTCAGCTCAGGAGGATGCTGCTTGGAAAAATCTGCCTACACATTTAATTTTAAGTGGGTTTATATATTTCTTTAATTGAATGTTTTTATTAGAATGATTTTTATTGACTCAGCATAGGGAAGAGCGTTAGGACATGACATTTTTATTTTTCTCTAAGGCCTTAAAATGTCTCAAGCAGGGTGGTTTGCAAATTTGGTTTGTCTGTACGAGATTTTCATGTGATCTGTAAGTCATCTTTTGTAAAAGGATGATGTAGTTAAAGTGTTTTTTTCTTTTTTACTTCCTCAGTGTTTCCTCAGCTCTACTTCCACATGCTGCGGCAGAGGAGAAGGGTGCTTCATGGGGAGGTCATTGTGGAGAAGGATGACTAGAAAAAGCCGCCACATCATGCCTTCCTTTGAGCCAGCCTGCCTCAGAATCACCCCTCAACCCCCCTCCCACCCTCCCCCTCCACATCATCTCCTCTTTGGTCCTTAGCACCATCAGCTTTTACATTCTACTGCACTGGACCGGAAAACGCAGTGCAAATGAAAACCTGTCTGACAAGAGCTGTATCACTTGTGATAACATGGAAGAAAGGCGTTCATCAGTACTGAGAGAAAATAAATACATACATGTAGGATTGATTCCTATCTGGGCGGTAATATTGGAGACATGTTTACAGTCCCATTGTTGCTGTGGAGCTTGAAACAGAAGCTCGACATTGTGTCTCAGTTCAGAGATCCTGTGTCTTTATTTTTTTCACCCAACAAGCTTAACGCACTTTGTTGCTGCTCACACCTGTCTGAGGGAGAATAAGGCAAATGAGAGGCTTCCTGGGAAATGTAACATGGGAAGGAAGATTGTAAGTTGTGTCTCTGTAAGTGTCCCCACTTTACCCCCCCCCCCAAATTAACACAATTGGCATTATTATTATAATATGTTAAGAGTATTCCACCACAGTGATTTTACACAATTGTATAAAAACAAAAAAACACGGTTTCATAAGATCAAATATTCATAGTCTAGTATCATAGCTCAACAATAAATCTACGTTTAGACATTATGCTTCTTTTGTGTATGTTTGTTTTACCTTCTGTGTAAATGATGCAATGTGAAATGAGCGGCTAAATCCATTACTTAAAGATAATTTATTCACATACTGTCGAGCAAGCACAGCTCAAACTTAACTCTGTCGTCTGCTCGGCTCATCTGCATTCTTCTATGTTGCTTTGATGTTTACTGTGTCAAATTAATTTACAAGAGTGCATCTTACACTAAATTGAGTTCAAAACTAGCAGGTTTTTCTCTGTAGAAAATTCAGATTTTCTTTTTTTTAAGCGCTCATCTTTCAGCCTGTTTTGTCTGTTTTTTAACATAAAGACTGTCATGTCCATGTTGATTTAAAAACAAAAAAAAGTTTGTTAGTCCCCCCCCACTAAAGGTGCTATTGTGAGATCTTTTCAATCTTCTGTGCAGCTGAAGCAGTGACTGACTTTCCTAAAGTCGGGAAACAGGATGTGAAATGATTGAGAGGAAAGGTTAAGGTTAACGGACTGCATATCCCATGGTTAGCAAAGAAAATCTACATTTCTTATAATCTGTGTGAGAGGAGAGAGAACTCAAGTCATTGTTAAATCAAGAACAAAACAATTGAAATGTGAAAATACCTGTTTGTGAAAAATCAATAAACTAAATTGTACAATCCTTGGAGATTTCTGTGATAACAATAAAGAGAATTAAAGTTCCAATATTAGGGCTTTCACACTTGCAGAAAACACCGGAAAAACTCTGGATATTTCCCCTGCCATATTTCTCCCAGCAAGTCAGAGTGAGCTTATGTCAGAGGGCAGCAGGATATAGTCAGGAGAATTCAGCTCTAGCCAATGGGAGGGGGGGTGATGTTTATATACTGTGACTGCTGCACGGTGTCTGCATGCGACCACTATGACCTCCGTTCAGGTTATTAAACGGCTTCATAATGTTTTCTGTTTGTCAGTATGTTGTTCTCCGGTCTTTTTGATAGTGTGATTCCATTAAACTACACATAGCATTGATATGAAGGCAAATATTGTCATTTTAGCATCGTATAGCAGACTCTTGCTACTTGCTCGTCTTTTATTATTTTTATTTTTTTTACCTTTTTACCTCAGGAGACGCCCTCTAGACTCTCTACTCTAGAGAGGAGGGGGCAGGGGGAGACAGCTCTCTTCAATGTTTGGAATTTGGACTGCAGTACCCATTTTAAACTCTAGGGGGGCAGAGTTACATTGATACTACATCTGTGTATCTGGCTCTGCTTACAATGCAAAAACAATCCAACAAATACAAACGTCGTGCAGGTTTTACAGATTTATTTGTGTTTCCTTCACCTCTTGAAATGTTTTTTAAACTAAAGTGTTTGTTCTTCACAGGAAACAGTACCTGAGAGCTGAAACTGGCACATTTAATATTTGTAGGTAGGATCCAAAGATTTATATAAAACATACCAACATCTATAAGAGTGAGAAATTAATCTTAATAATCCCTTAATACTGCATCATACAGGGAGTATTGAACTGTCATTGTGCAGTCTTGAACTAGAAGTCAAGATGGTTGTGACAGTCTTCTGCATGTAAGTGTAAATAATATGTTTCTAAAGGTATACATGGAAATGCCATATAGACATTCATGAGGTTACATAATGGGTTCCTCATCAAAGATAGCACATCAGTGACAGTATGCGTTTAGCGCATCGATTTACACCTCTCCGTTTTAAGACACATTTTTATTGAAGCACTAAGGCAAGTCCACTTGGCTTCATAGCTTGAATAACTTGCATAATGAAATATACATTCAGATATTCAGTTGAACATGGAATACAGAAATATAAATGTTCTTCAAATAACCATAAAGATATTCAGATTTATATAAATCGATGATTTGGTACTTTAAGACGTCCTTCTCTGCTTGCCCTGTTGTATTGCACTTGCTGGTAAAGTCAAACTTGGTCCACTTTGGAGGAGAAAGGCATCTCTTTAGCATTGGCGAGATGTCTGCTGCAGCCCTGGGCTCGTTTCAGGATTGTCCCTTTCTCTCTCTCCGTATGGACTCTCCATGTGCTGTGTCAGTGGACCAGTGCCACATGGGGGAAGTCTAGCTGCTCACTGCAAGCTCCCTTTCAAGACGTCGCTACGATCCAGGCGATCTTGCTGCAGAAAAAAACAAACATAATGACAATTTATTATCAGAAGAAAAGTGTGATGATGCTTGTTGGGCAGGGAGGAAAAACAGAGAGACAAAAAATCAGACGTACAGGTCTCCATGTCCTTCTCACAGATGTAGCTTATGAGATCTTCACAGAAGAAATCGTTCCATAACCCTTCATGGATGAGCCCTGCACAGTCTTCTCCCAGCTCATGACCGTGGCCCCAGTTGTCAGGCTGACCAGGTTTCCACTTTCTGCAAGCAAACAACAGGGGGCGTTCACACATCAGATTTACTAAACTTTTTAGAGCCTGGAAAAAATCCACAGCAGTGTGAATGAAAAAACTGCAACAGGAATTCTATGCATTTTTCATATTCATGTATATAGTAATCATGCATCTCTGGGATTAACTAAGTTTCTCCCAGTGTTTATAAATGTAATAATTACCTCCTTAATGTTTATTATTTTTAGCTTTGCAAGCTTTAATGTTTATCTAATTGTGGTTTTCTTGTGTACCCTTACAGAAAAATGGAAAAAAAAGGTGTAATCGGACCTCCTAAAACAAATGAATGATTGTGGAATGTGAAGGTATTTGTTTTATTAGATTGTGGAGAAGGACCATAGTTTTTCATGTAGGTCAAAGTAATGAGATTTTTTTTTTTTTTAATTGTCTCTGCGTGATGATTTGGTCTTTGTCAGTAACTGAAAGCCTAAAGGAAAGCAATATCTTGCTCGTCTCTGAAACTAAATATCAATCCTAGAAACAGCACCTACATAATGATAAAAGCTTTTTCTGATTTGATACTGACGTGAAAACAGGTTCAGTCCCGTCCAGCCAGCGCCAAGCGTTCTCCTCGTCCCTGTCGGTCAAACCCATCCAGAAATAACCTTTTCCAAACGTTTGCTTCTTCAGCCATTTCTGAGGTCACACGAGGACAAATTACACAGCAGTCACAACCTTTCCTTTCACCTCATAATGGTTTTCATGTATGTCCTTGTTTAAGTGCAATGAAGTCATTATTTTCTAGTTACCTGTTCCTCTATATCGTTTATGATCAACAACGATGCAGCTGTTGATTCACAAGTTGCCTTTGCATCATCAAAACTGTGCAGGTCTTTGGAGAAAAAGTAGCATTTGTCTCTGTAGTTTACCCAATCAGTGGGGCAGCCTGTGAAACATGAAGAGAATTAACAACCTTTGCAAAAACAACAACAGCGTATGTCACAAATGTTTTGAAATCTAAATCTACCCTCCTGTTAGTACCTCAGGATATTTCATGAAGGTTTAAGATATGTGACAGAAACTAAGACTTAGACTTCATGAGTGAAGTTGTACCTGGGGCCCATAACGTCGGAGCTACTGCCTCGTCCTGCAGAGACACAGGTCCCAATGGTACTAAAGGAACCTGAATTGGGATTCCTGGTTGTCCTGGTGGTCCTGCTGGCCCAGGAGGCCCCACTGGTCCTGGCAGTCCCCTTGGTCCCTGCTCCCCAGCAGGTCCCATAGAGCCTCTGATACCTGGTGGGCCCTGTAACCCCTGAGGACCTGATTGTCCGTCTCTTCCAGGCAGACCGGCGGTACCTGGCTCTCCTTTAGTTCCTGGAGGTCCGGCCCTCCCTCCTGACCCCCGTGAGCCCTTTAAACCAGGGCTTCCAGGTAGGCCCGGAAGGCCTTTCAGCCCTGGTAGACCTGGAGGTCCCGGGACACCCTGCTCTCCTCGGGGTCCTCGTATCCCAGGAGAACCCTTTTCTCCTTTTTCTCCTTTTTGCCCAAGCTGACCAGATGACCCCTGAGGTCCTTTGTCCCCTCTTGGACCTCTGGGTCCAGGGGGACCTGAGAAAAGAAAAACGTACTGTGAGCGAGTGAAAAAAGATTATTGGTAGTTTTTAAACACATTTTGCAGCATTTTTGGAGAAGAGATTTGACTCTGTAGTTGAGATTTGGACGAGAAGATTGAGAAAACCTGCTGATGGCTGTGGCTTTATATTGACTGTACAGACATTGGGTTGTTGTACCAAACCTCTAATTAATAACTTTTTAAGTATTAGAGAGGTATATTTCCCACAAATCTCTCACCCTGTAAAATGGTGAAGTTGGTTATAAGTTGTGAGTGTTTGTTGTCCACCAGCTTCATCTCCTCCATGACAATAGAGAGGTTGGTGACCTCCTTGTCCAAACGTGCTGCCAGCTCTTCCTGCTGGGTCCTCAGACCGGCTGCGTCTGCCCTGGCATCTGTCATGCTGTTGTTGAGGTTCAGCAGGATGTCTGAGTGACGGCCCACGGTCTCGGAACAAGTGCGTAGCCCGTTCAGGTTGAGGTTGATGGCACCCAGGAGCTGCGTGGTGAAACTGATGTTGCCAGTCACTCGATCCATACTCTGCTCAGTCTCGTCCAGCCGTACCTCCAGCCGGTCAAACTTGGTGGATGTGATGTTCCTGAAGTCCCTCTGCTGGTCTAAAATCTCCCTCAAGGTCTGGTCTTGAGCATCAGCCAGGCTGCTGGTGTTCTGCAGCTGGTTGGTCATAACAGCGAGCTGTGAACCAACCTCATCCAGGCTGTCGTTATTGGCCTTTGCGAGTGCCGAGACATTGCTGGCCATAACCTGCAGGTTTTCCACTTTACTGCGCAGCCAGTCAGCATCAGCTCGAGCTTGTCTGGCCGTCTGCTCGATGCTCTGAAAGTCATTGCGCATTTTCTGGATAGCCTGACTGGTGCCGTCCACTGAGCGCTGCAGAACAGCGATGAGGACTCTCTGCTGGGCTTGCGTGAAGTTTAGACTGCTGATGCTTAGAAGGGTCTGGTCCTGAAGTTTCACCTGCTGCTGGAGTTCTCTTTGCATCCTGACTGTGTCATCCTGCAGACCCTCAATGATGTTGCCATAAGACTGCAGGGTGCCATTTACGGAGTGCAAGGTGGCTGTGTTGCTTTCCAGCAGTCCCTGAATGGAGCCCTGGCCGTTCTGGATGTCTGAGTCAATGTTCTGCAGCTGACTCAGCTTAACTTGATCGCTGTGGATGCGTTCTTCCACCGCAGACAGCTGCCTCTGGAGACTCCAGATGTTGTTCTTGAAAGCCTGGATCTCGGTGGTGGTATTCTCTGACTTCTCCCCGGCTTGATCATCTGAAAGAGAAAGTTTGTTCAATGCATTGCCAAAATGTTTCAACCTCTCGCTGTAGATTTGTTTTTATTTAAACCCAGATAAGTGGAACTTACCCAGCTTTTTCAAGTCAGTCTCAACAGCAATTATCTTTCCTCCATAGTTTGCAATACCTTCGGACACACTGTCGACTTTTTGTACAACTGAAGGAAAAACAGAACAGGTAGGACAAAGGTTAGCATCATTGTCTCCTCACAGGATCCTGTCTTTATTACCAGACCAGAATTGCCTGAAAGCACAGACATCATATATAAAAGGGATCAGAGAGGAAACCAATAAAAATTACGAACAGACACTAAACGAGATGTGTCTACATATCTTGTAGGCATGTAATAATGCTGGACTTGATTAGTGTAATCTCTCAGGATAGGACAGAATTAGAGTGTGACTGAGGTGGAGAGACAGGTGGAGATAAAAAATGACATTTGGATTTGGAGTGCAATTTAATTTAGGGTCAAAGACAAAAAAAGGAAGGGATTGCAAAAGACCAATTGAGGGAGGAAGAAACTTTGATTCAGCAGGGATGGAGTGGGTGGTCAATGGCACAGTCTGCGGTTGGAGGTGCACGGGGAGACACTGGTGAGGGCCCTAGGGGACAGGAAGTGACCTAGGGGGGTCTTCAGTAAACAGGCGGATCAAAGACAGCACAGAGGAGACAGACACTGTGGCAGGGAGGCTCTTCACGCCCCCACAGGCGACACCAGCGTTCATTTCCTCTGGAATGTGTCTGGGATTCCGGGGGAATCAGCCCACTTCCACCACCAGCCTCGCCAGGGGGAAACGTCCTTTAACTAGGAACTCCATGGGCTCCTCTGCTGGGAATCTGCATCCCAGCTGTTTGCTTCAACAGTTAAAACAACAGGTCGATGACCTCCAGAGGTTAAATCACCAGAAAGAGGAACTGGTTTAAGTCCATCAATCTGTCCAAATGAGGACACCAGCCTTTGATTTAGCACCAGATACAGCACAAACCAAGCCTGCATTTTGCAGCAAAAGGGATTGTCACAATACAAGATTTCTAACATTCGTTTTGATTACAGTAAAAATCAAAGAGTCCTTGGCACCCAGTATTGAGTAATCTCTTATTTTTACTTTCCCAAAAATGTATGGAAACCCATGCTCCCTGTTTAGATTGCACAAAAACGATTTGGAAAATATCAGTACCCAACATTGCCAACATATTGGTGCAATTTAGAAAGTGCTTTCTCTCCTTAGCTTGTCGCAGCTTTGTTTAAAAATATGGATGATTTTGTCATGGATGATCATCTTTACCTTCTAATACTATCAATCATGAACAAAACAGACTTGTCATGGTTTTGAAACACTTGATATCAACAACCTTAAACGCTAGCCACAATTAACTCACCTATAAGGCAAACATTTGATATGTTTGTTTGATGTCTTGCAGAACATAGACTGACACCTCACTGCTGTCCGTCCATTGAGTATGACAATACCACCAGTCCCCAGTTTACACGGCTTAGCATAAGACTGGAAACATCTTGTCTCACACTGTCCAAGGGTTCAAACAATTCAACCTTATGCAGGGGCCCTTTCCAAATAGCCACCATTCAGTGTGGAGTGCGGACCCTTCAGTAGGGAGTTTCAGTAGACTGAACGCTCAAGGTCATTCAGCTGGCATCTTTTGGGTCCACCTCAGTAATTCTAAAGCCCACAAACCCAACCCAATGGACTATATCTCTGCTGGGAGAAGCAGAGAGCAGCTTTATATCTCTATATGCTAAGATAAGCTAACTGTCTTGTAGCTTTCTATATACCTCAGATATAATAGAGGGGGACTACTCTTCATAACTCTGAAAGAATCAGATTAATCCTATTTCCCAAAATGCCAAACAATTCCTACAAAGCCAAAGACAATTTTCTCTAGTGTCTCAACTGCATATTGAAAAGATCTGTTGCTGTTACGGAAAGAACTGTCCCCGGGGTTATTGACAGTGAAATGTTGAGGAAACTTCAATTTGGAAAATTAATGTTATATGTATGGTAAAACCTTTTTTTTGTTCCTTTTCTTCACCCTGTTTGACATTCAAGAAACTCAACCCTGACCACAACACATACTCGTCTTCTGACTTGTCTTATGGAAGTGATAAAGACATTTAAAAACAGATGAACTGTGTTATTCACAGTTATTGGAGAAAATCCTCCGTTGGACAGGAAATGTTCCACAAATCAAAATAACTGGGACAATCTGTTAGACATGGAACACTTATTTTAGCACAACACAAAGTCCAAATCATCTGCACATTGTCTCTGTCACTGACACTTACACGTACACTCGCCCTGAAACTGAAATTAACACTAACTCACATACACACATTTCTACATGCTCTTTCACTGAAGCGGCCTCCAGAGAGACTCTTTGCATCACACCGTGGCAACATGAACCATAAAACATGCAGGGCTGCAGAGGAAAGCGTTACTTTGGCAGAAACCTTCTAGGTTTTCCAAATGTTGTTAAAGTGAGCTATTTTTTTGTACCCAGTTTGAACTCTTTCCAGCTCTTGTGTGGGCGGTTCTTGAAACTTCCAGGGTTGTGTTGTAAAATCCAACTTCCCATTCATATAAAATCAGAAATAGTAGAAATGTTGGAAAATCATCAGAGTGTAAAAACTCCTGTTGGAACAGATGAGATATGATAAACCTGTGAGTGTTTAGGGGGAAATGTATCCAATCAGAATATCATAGACAAAAGTGGGACCACTGGTTGGTCAATGTGGGTACTCAGAGGGGAAATGTTATACATACAAGAAGGGGGCAAACCCTAATAAAGACCTCTATGGTGGAAACATGTTGGCTTGTTTAAGGATTTGGTCATAATAATAAAGGCCTTTTAAGTTCTCATTGTACATCTTTAATGCTTAGAGTCCCTGGTTTGGAGTCCAGCGCTTTAATGACAATGTTTACCTTTGTACAGAGGGCGATTCCAGAGTCTGTTGGGGCCATAGGCAAAAATAATCTGGGGGTCCTCCAACCAGCGTTCATCACCATCATGTTTGCCAGAGTACCGGCAATTACTCCTCTTCCTTCCTGTTTCTTTATTTCTTGTCTATGGACGGGCATTTTAGGCCACTGCTTTGGTTTAAGTTTGTGAGCCTCCTACTGGTCTGAGGCCCCAAACAGTTGCTAGCCTTGCCTGTCAACAAGCAGCGCCTCTGCCTCTATATCAACGCTACATGTTATTTGACGTAGCCACGTAATCAAGTAAGGAGCGGAGTAGAACATACTGGAAAGCAGAAAACAGTAAGAAGCAGCTTCATTATGTGCACAAGGATTGCACCAGTTGCTCACTCGCTGGTTATATGATATAAAGTCATCACCCTTTCCAGCTAACGGTGAATTTTCCCTGACATTTCCCTTTGATTTCACATAAAACCTCAAGCCACTTCATGCAGACTTTTCACAAAGGGGCAGAAAAAGAAGTGTGGGGTAGAAATAGAGTTCAGAAAATTTGGGAGATTTGATAATACAGCAAGAGAGTGTTTCTTACTTATGTGATGAAAATACTCAAATATTAAACTGCATCATTGACAGAAGCACATGTAGAGGAGACACATAATGCCAACAAACTGAGTACTAATGTCAGATAGCATGTATCTTAAAATGGTTAATAACATCAGCCATGATGGTGATCGCACAGACAATGTGAGGCACTGTGTGAGTAAAAACAGAACAAGACTGTGTTGGATTGCATTAATGACTGGAGTTTTACTGTTGTTTGTCTAAAGCTGATCTCATCTGACTGAATTTACTTGATTTATCTGAAATGTTTCCGTTCAAAGCGCCTGCTGAGCTTTTTTGGTTCATTTCTCAAACCAGTTTTTCCACAATAATAAAAATAAATTCATAAAGGGCGTGAGGAAAAAAACATAAGTCATATCCTTTTCCATTTGCTTTTCTTACTGTCTTTGAGGAAAATGAATGGGATTTAAATCCTCAAGAGAGTGACCTCATGATGCTTTTGGTCGCGTCTATCAAGTCAGCAGGCTACAGGGGAGAAGACGGGGGGAGGTCTCTGAATCCCTGCCAAACGTCTCTGGTTAAACTGCATCAAAACAAAGGAGCCACATGAAGGCTGTTTCTGTGGGTCAGCGATGGAGGACAGAGAGGAGCACACATGTTAAGTGCATAGAGCACTCCGGGTCTCACTACATAACCATCTGGAGCTGGGAGTGTGTTTAGGCTGAGCTGTGGTTCCCCTGACAGAGGAGCGCTCCGGTGCCAGTAAAAACCCAATTTCAGAGGGTTCTGCTGGAGCTGTGCTGAGTTCACTCGCTGCTCATCTGGCATCAATTAGGCCTGCATGAAAACATGAAGCATGGGCCGACTGAGCTCAGAGTGAGGGGGACATCTTTGTTCACGTATACTCGAGACACACAGATAACCTCTGAGCGACTCAAACAACTTAAAAAACGAGGGGACGTCAAGGTCGCATGTTGGAGTGTTTAGCACAATTATCTCAGGAACATTCAGAGTTCAGTTCTGCGAAAGACGTCGAGCCCGTTTCCCGACCTGGAACATGTTGAAAAAAAGCCAACCAGGAAAATCAGCTTCACAAAGCCTGAGGACCCTCTATGGGGGTGTGAGCACTTGAGGAGTGTTGGTAAAATAAACTGAGAGAAGGCTGTGGGGCGGAGGGACTGTGTTGAAACTCAAAAAAACCCTAATTTGCATGGAAAGTTTACAGAAGAAATAACTTGCCAAAATCATTCCATGCAAATTCAAAGTTCAAATCCACTCCAGGGTTGCTGAACTTGAACTACCATTGTGCATCTGCACACCTCCACATTGCATGTTTACACTCGATAGAAATTAACATTATTGATTAATTTAACATACTAGGTTAGCTAATCTGGTGCTGAAGAGCTGAGGGATGATTTTTACTTTGTGTTTTTTTCATGAGTCGGCCAGGCAATCAGTGGATATTACACAAACAAGATGCACGTTAATAAATGAGCTTTAGAAGTGCAGGTAAATGCACATTGTAAGACAGAGTCTGTGTATCTGATCCCCCTGTGTCTGAACTTTGCACTAAGCTTAGCTAACTGGCTGCATCATTTCTACCTTCGCGATCAATCTCTAAAATTAAACTCTCTAAACTGACCTTTAATCTGCATTAAGGAGTTTCATTTTGGGTGAAAATCTTCTTCTTTAAGGTGAGGCGATTCTCAAACATTTTCCATTACTGATCTTATATAATCCATGTCAAGCCTGCTCCCTGTGTTGATGAAGCTCTCTCTCTAACGGAAAGACTCTCATCAAACAGAAATGTTCTTATTTCCTTGCGTCCTTCCTTTTGGATATCCACTCTCTCAAATTAGTTTGAGCATAACTTTTGTACACAAAAACCCCCAAACTGCATCATTGAAGTCTTTTTTTTAGAAAAATGTGTAATCTGGGCCCCAAAGACGTTTACCCATCATGCCACATTGACGGTAAAGTGCATGCTGTATTTACCTTTATATCCGAGCACGGCGACAGCGATGGTGAGGAGAGTACACAGCACGTAAAGCAGAGCTATGGAGGTCTTCAGCGCCCATTCATTCTTACACTTGGTGCACTGGGTGGCCTCCTGGATCCCTGTTTTAAAAAGAATACAATATCAGTCAGAACATGTCTCTGCATATTGTACATTTTTCTCCAGCTGAAAGGTCTTAAAAGGACATGTTGGTAGAATTTGGTGTTATCTAGGGACTCTCCACGTCCAGGAGTTCCACATCTGGACAAACAGGCCTGGAGTCAACATTAAAGAGTCGTGCAGTTCCCTCAGGGCCCGGGTAGCGAAGGGGCAGGGGACACAAAAACAATCCCCCCCACAGACTTGTTTACACTCAGTGACATGCTTATTTTCCTGAACTCAGCTTTCACTCAGGAAACTTCCTCCTCTTTATCCTTCATTCCTCTCTCGTGTGCACAAAGATTCCAAAAACACAAAAGACTTACTAAAAGTTAAGGAGGTATAATGTACTTAAGTGCAAGAACTCATGCTGCCTCTTTTTATATCTGCACATTTTAGTTCATCTCTTTCCGAGTCAGTTGACTCTGGAGTCGGACTAAAAGGCCTCAGCAAGTGGGGACACTTGTGGAATATGTTTTTTTCCAAGGATATCTTTCATGACAGATGAGTGGCGAGATCCTAAGCGCTGACGGGAACACAGCTGCGTTTCATTTTCAATTCAGGAAGTGTGTGTGTGGAAAGGTTGGATTGGGAAGGGAGGGGGGCTGGTTTTTCATGCACCTGGAATGAGGCTTACTTCACATTCGCTATATGGAGAAACAACTCTTATTCAACAGGGCGACACAAAGAGTGCAATACACGACTGTCCCAATCAGAAAGTCGGTAAATCACATGACTGTCGTTCATCAACCTTTAAAGAGTTTGGACCATTCAGTGCCAAAGACTTCACCACACATCCACTTCAAGTGCTTTTTAAACGATGAGGTAATACTTTGATAAATTAGAACGGCAGCTCTGATGGGCTTGTCGAGGTCTCAATGGGAGATTTGATGCCAAAGTTAACAAACGACTCGCTGTTATTGGTGTGAAGGGATCGTTAATGACCACTGACTGTTAGAGCTCCGTTAAACACCATGTCCAGCTGGAAGGGAGGTCTCCTCGGCTAGTCGGTGGGAAAGATGGATTTAATATAAGAGCACAGGCAAGTGCTGCAAAAAAACATTTAATGTAACACTTAAAAGGTTTTAATAATATGGCCAATATGGCCGACCGATCATCGCTCCCATTTTTGTTCTGTTTTTGGTATCAACCAACTCAGGAGGGAAACATGAGGCTTTAAGCTGCTAAACGTCCCTATATTTTCACCAGCTGGTTGCTAACTTTCTCCACCTGGTGTCTGTTGCTGAACAGGTCATATAAAGAGGGATTTAAGGGATTTTTCACTGAAGACACTTCTTTAAGATGACTTCTTTGGGAAAAATAATAATAATGTGATGCTCCAACTAAAGGCATAACCATCATTTCTCGGGCTAAACAAACTGTCCACTACTTAACTTTCAGACCTAAGAAATCTGTAAAAAAACATTGAACATGTGTTCCCAGGAATGACAATGTACAAGTCAATACGTTTCATCACAGCCTCACAGAAAGCAAGATATATTTTTATACACGGCTTTTGGCCAATTCCTGCCAAAATCTTTATAGCGTCAAGTCATCAGGTGGGAAAACATTATATTTAACAGAGATGGAAAGAAAGAGTCAATATGAGGACAAAAAAATATGTGGGATCAGAAGAACAAAATCCCTATGGATTGATCCACACCTGAAAATGACCTCAGCATTAAGAAGTGGCGATAGTTATCCTCCAGTCCACATCATGCAAAGAGCCTCACCAGGCTCCTTAACGCACATGTCTGAAAGAGATTTGTCTTTAAAAGCTCGGCCCGAGCTCTGGCTGTGGAGAAGGTGACTTCACACAAAGTGGCTCACACAGCTGCGCATTAGACATCAGGACCGAAGCCTTCCCTGTAAGCAGACAGGTGCACTCTGGGAGTACAGCCACAATAATTGATTGCACGTCTGAATCATTCATAACTGCACACATGTTTGAAGTGCCACCTCATGCATGCTTCCACAATAAAGCAAACACATCAGCTCATCAGCTCACAGTAATCAAAGCACTGCAGCTCAAATCGGCTGATGCAATCCAAACACACCGCCAGTGTTTACAAATCTACTGCGCTGTAGTTACACAAAAACACTCTGTAAGACATGAAATATGACACAGACTAACGGCTTTTCCATTTCAGTGCACACTTGACTGATGAGCTTCAGATGCACGGGGAAGAAAGTGGAGAATTTTTGCGTTGGCTGTCAAACATGGAGGACACCTGGCATAACACGAAACACATGGCGGACGACTCGACAACAAAGGAGAGAGTTCAGTTTCACAGCTTCTCTGTGAGCACGCAGGGAGAACAGACATGAACTGGAGCAGCTGTGATCTCTTCAACAGCCCGAGTGTCGACACACCACTGGGCTGCCAAAGGCTCGATCGGGGGTCACGACCTGCTTGCTGTTCAATTCCCAGTGGGTCACTTCCTGGATGAAGAGCACAGATAAGGAGAAGAGACAGATGCTGGACTGCTGAGCAAGGCTTGAAGATATATGTATATTTATTTACATAATGTTCCTGTCTCTTTAATATTATGCGTCTAAATATATCGGTGCATCATCAGCGTAAGTGTTGATAAGTTTTGAGTAAACTTCACTAAAAGTGAGTAACCACATACCTGAGACTTCTGGTTTTATCCAGGCTAAACTTGGTTCACAAGTAGGGTTAGTCAGCATTTCAATGACTACAATTTGATGTCCAGCAGGTCCTTATTATGCACAGAGAGGTAAACATTGAAATTATGTTGAAGGCATGGTTGATTGGAGGTTGTAAAGATTTTGATCCGGCCAGCTCCTGCAATTATTTTGGGTAGGGAGTTTAAAAAAAACAGACAGACTTCTTTTTTTGGCTTTGGCTTTTTAAACCACACTGTTGCACATTTATGCTTTAACTCAGGCTGTTTTCTCGTCAGCAGGAACAGACGCTAAACTCTGGGCATCACAAAATGTAAAATGGGTAATATATTAGAGAATCAAAAAGGTTTTTACTCCAAATTTGAGATGATTATAAAACCAAAAAGCCTCTTAAAGTATCACAGAATCACCTAGAAGAAGACATTTCTGCAGATTCCTTTGCTTACATGCAAAAGGTTTAACACTGCTGATAAAGTTGAAAACAATTCCTTCACTGACATAGTTTCAATAAATATTCTAAATGATGAATAAAAGAACTGGACACAGGCTGTGGAAACACTGACCTCCTTGTTCACAGTTTAACATAAGAGACTCAGTTTCCTTTAGTTTGGCTGAATCAGACACTGATTCGTCATCTTTCCCTGTCGCCTGCACAGTCAGACACAGTCGAATCCAATCAACCACAACCGCAGGAACAACCTTTGGCCAGGCTGCTCGGACCACAAAACTTTTACTGCTCAGCAAAACAAAAGGGATGCTCGAAAGACAAAGACCCCAAAGGAAAATCAACACGGCACTGGGGTTTTTTAGAAATGTGAATGGGTTCCTTTGTCATCGTGTGTTTTGACAGGATAAAGTTATCCATTGTTCCTGCAAAACCTCTATGATGAGAATATATCCGGACAGAGTCCACCTTAATGAAATTTGTCTCCAAGCCTGTGTCTCTCATCGGCCTAATTTCTTAGAACAAAGGACTACACCAACATCGTCTTTTTTAAATCTCACCATAACCATTCATTTTCCCCTGACAGGCCAAAACTATGTCCACAGTATTGCACATTGATACACGGGCCCAGCTCATTAAAAACAATGTTTATTTACTGTAAATAGCAGAGGGGACGCTATAGTAACGGATGAGAACACAAAGCTGTGAGCTGAGGTCACACAAACTGTGATCTGGATCTCTGCCTTGCCTAACACTCACTCAACCCCTTTCCAGGAACCGGAGAGCGGAGTCCTCCAGGAGGGCAATCAGAGAAGCATGCCGGGCACAAAAACACAAAGAGGGGAGAGAAAGAGGAATCAGAAGTAGACGACGAAAGTTGTGGTTCATGAAAAGGTATCAGAACAGGAAAACAATACGACAATGGGTGTTCAAAATCAAACAGAGCGAAAAAGAAAGAATGACAGATTTGCAAATAGGTTAGGTCTGGTGAAAGATCATGATTTACAGAGAATAGGCACATAAGTTGAGCTTATGGAAACACCTTGATCAGTGGCGATTCCAGAGTCTTTTGGGGCCCTAGGCAAAAATCTTTTGGGGGGGGCCTCCAACATGCATTCATCACCATTTTGTCTGCCAGCCAACGCTTACTCCTCTTCCTCTGTTTTCTCTCCTATAGAAGGATACTTCCTCTTTTGTGACTTGTATTGACAAACTTTGGTTTCCACATCAATAATGCATGCCACGCTTGGGCAGGGCAACCAGAGTGAGTGCTGTCAGATGGGACCCCCCCCCCCGAGGAAGGTTTCCTGCTGTCATTGCAAAATTTGCATATTTTGTGCCACTGCTTTGGTGTACGTTTGTGAGTTCTCGGGGGGCCAAGCTGTTGCCTCTGACCTTGATGACAATGCAACTTTTCTACGTTTAAAGAAGAGTACACACTACATGATAATCGATTCCCCCCTTCGTCAAGAGTGATTTTACCTTCCCCGATCAGGGCTGCCGTGATTTAAAAATCATAGATATTGAACATTCTGTCATTTTCTCTGTGAGCTTCCTGTCAGCACCTGTGTGTCCAATCAGACTGCTCGTTTGCACTTCCTGACGTTGTTTCCTCCTCTCTAGATCCTTCTGCTAGATGAAATGTAGAGTTGTAGAGCATGTGAGACTGTCTAAAGAAAGCTGGTCATATGCTATTTGTGAAAGGAGTTAAAAAAAACACATATTCACATTTGTAGTTATCAGTCTTCCTCTATGACCCGATCATAAGAGGTAGAGAGAGAAAGAGAGAGAGAGTCCATGTAGGGGTTAAGGTGGAGGTCAATGGGTCAAACAGACACATTTCAACAAGCACTGGAGTTTGTGTTTCGT